TGGTTCGTAAGTTATGACCAGTTGAAGGCAACATCAAGATATCAAATGGTAGGTTATTCGATGATCTTGAAATGAGTCTTCAAGCTCAGCATGAATTAATCTTTTCGATAGGAGTAATAGCCAAGTCAGTCGTTATTTTTATCAACAGTTTGTGTAGTGTGTAGTCAGGTTTTATGTTCCTGTTCTCTGATGTCCTTCACGTAATTCAGATTGTTGCGCTGGGAGGTAAAAACATCAGCGTAGATGCATTTAATTAAGGCTTTGAAATATATGAATCTATTCAGTGTAAATGTTATACGCATTAATGCTAGGACTGACCCTTGGAGGGACTTTCATAGTAGGAAAATGTGTCCTGTATGCATGTCTCACACTGGACTATTACTGTTATTATTGTATGATCATTCTGACCATTTATCCAGATCTGAATCCTGCTTGCTTTCCTGCTAAGGTTGGTTTTATGATACTGGCCTTAGCACATCAGGTAAATGGCATCAGTTGCTGATACCTCTTTTATATTACATCATCCTTTTAATGCACTGCCCTGTACTCAAAAACTACGCAACGCACGCACGCACGCACGCACGCACGCACGCACGCACGCACGCACACACACACACACACACACACACACACACACACACACACACACACACACACACACACACACACACACACACACACACACACACACTTAATCGAACACCCTTACTATTAAGGACTATAAATACGTATGAACACACTTTTGAACAAACAAAACCTATCCGAAGAAACAGTCTCTCTTCTTAATTACAATATTCACATGATTTACAGTCATTCACATATATGGCATAAGAAGGAAAGAATATCAAAGTAACAGCTGAAGCATAACGTCATATGACACTTCCGGTCCAGTAGATGAAGTAGTCAACAAAAGCTGTGCAATGTGTACTCAAGCAGGCATCTATCATCTATTGCCTATAATTCTGCAACAAGTGGCAGATCTGGAGCGATGTCAAGACAACCAGGGTGACGCAGTCCATACTTACACTATGCAGGTATTTGTCAACACCCTGTAAATGAAGGTTGAAGTGTTCTCACATTCAGTCTCACATACAGCAGTGATTGATTTCATACACTCTGGTGAATGCATGTCACAGCTGATGTCTTTAGAATACATAACATAATTTTAAGCATCATAATACAGCACAACCAGGACAAATGTGTAACAAATACAGTAACAAAATTATAGCTAAGAACATTTTAAAAGTGTATTGATATCATTAGATTGCAAGAAAAGTGTCATGTGTTATAGGAGTCAAGAAGCACTTGCTAGTGAGAAAGATGCGTTTCCATGGTAATATATGAATTGAATTAATCTTATCATAACAGAATCAGTTAATTTTTTGTTAATTCTGCAAATTAATACTTCATACAGACCATTACAATTATAATTATTGTTAATTCTCCAAATACTTCCTACAGACTATTACAGTGCTAAAAGAAATGAAGAAATATATTACACAGAAACTGCATTTTTCACTCTTCGTGCAGTGAGTGAGATGACAGTGAAGAGAGTACTAGACACTGGACAGGTGCCAGAGGAAGCGTTGAGTATACAGGTTATACACACGTTGGATTAAGACTAATGCCTGTCACATACAATTTTCTCTGTTTACACAGTTTGGAAGACTGTTCACTACACGAGCATTACTATGTACATTTTCATTAGTAATTTCAATATAAATAAAATTTGAAATGACCTATTGAATTACTGGCAGAATTATATGTTTAACAAATCTTTGCGCCATCATGAAGTTACTTCTCATAATCAAAATTTATGTATCAGATATAGTGTACCACCCTCGTCACTCCGTCAATATAATTAAAACTTTATAGAGCTAAGTTCTTTGGTTATGACATAATTATCAGTTCACGCATGATTTAAGGAAAGAAGTTATAAACTACACTACTGCGAGTAAAATGAAGTTGCAGTGGATATCCCTAGTATTACTGCACCACTCCTCCCAAATGTTTGTAACTCTGTCACTGTAAAGTTGGTATGTGCAAAGTATTTCCAACTGAATTTAATATTTCTGTGGCATGTAAAAAAATGGGAACATATCTTAAAATATATTACACAACGTTGAGCAAAATAGTTATTTATCAGAATATATACCGAGTTGCATGCTTTAGAAAAAAAACTACTTAATTTCAGCATTGCAAGATTGGTAAAGATAAAGACTTCCCATTTCAATATTGCAGAAAAAGGATTTATTTTCATACACATGTTCACTGAAGTATAAAAAGAACCTCAAATGTTTTAAAATCCTAATGCATATATAAAAACCATCAGATTCTGTATGCAAAAATGTTTAAAAAAATGACATGACCCATAAGCAATTAAAAGAAGGAACATTCCTTATAAAATAACTTTCGCGATGCAACACACCTAAACATTCCAACGATGCATGTCTGATACAAAACTTTACTTCGGAAATAGAAGACATTCTTTTTTATCACC